CTCGGGCACGCCGGGCCAGGGCCGCAGGGTGGGGCGCCTGGTGTGGCGAACGCAGACAATACGCGCGCAGACGGCGCGCCCCGGGGCGCCCCGCGCGTGCTGACGGTCACACCGCCGCCTGCCCCGCCGCGGCGGCAGCAGCGGGGCGCGGCGCGGGGCGGGCGGCAGCCCAAGCGCCCAAGTCCTGGCGAGCGGGGAGGGACCCAATTGGACGGCGGCGAGTTGCGCGAGGCATCAAGACCCCCCAAGCGGCGCCGGTCTGGCGCTGCTGTTGCCCGCCCTGCCCCGCGCGGCGGCCGGCCGGCGTCGGGGCGGGCGGCGGCGGCGATGGCCGCGGTTCGCATCAGCGGCTGCTACGAGCGGGACGGGTCTGAGACGCTGCGGGTCGTGGACAGCAGCAATGACGTCATCGAGGCGCAGTGGAGGGATGATAGCAGTGTTGAGCGGTCTGCCGAGGAGCAGGAAGAGGAGGAGGAGGAGGAGGACGACGAGGAAAGCCCCGGGCAGCAGGAGCGCCAGCAGCGGAGGCGGGCGCTGCGGAGCCGGCGGGGCGAGCTCGTCGGCTCGGCAGCAGCGGCGGGGCCCGAGGGGGCCGGCGCGCGGGCGAGGGGCGGCGGGCGCTCGGGGGGCGCGAGCGCGGCAGGGAGCAGCACGAGTTGGGGCCAGGCCAACGGGGGCGGCGGCCGCCCATCAGGTCGGGGCCGCAAACGCGACCGAGCTGGCGGCGGCGGCGGCGGCAGCAGCGGCGAGGGCAGCGGCAGCGATTGGAAGGGGAGCGGCGGCAGCAGCGGCAGCGGCGGCGAATCGGCCGCAGATGACGAGGATGGCAGCGATCAAGAATCCTGGGAGCCCGGGAGACGCGGCTGCGGCGGCCGCGGGCAGGCGCGACCGCGTCGCGGCCGCGGCGGGCGCAGGGCTGCGTCGTCCATCCACATGCAGGACGGCCAGGGCCTGGATTCTGCGGTGCAAGCGGGGTCAGATGGCGATTCAGATTCGGAAGTCCAATGGGTGCAGTGCGACAGCTGCCAGAAGTGGCGCCGCCTCGCACCCGGCGCCGCGCCGCCGCCCGCCAGCGCGCCCTGGCACTGCTGGCTCGACCCCCGCCCTGCCGTCGCGGCCGCCGGCTGCGGCGCGCCGCAAGAGGCGGACGACGCCGCGGCGGCGGGCGTCGCTTACCGCTCATGCCCGGGGTTCGTACTGCCTGGAGAAGAGCCCTGTAGCGCCGCCAACGTCGCCCACTTCTCGGCGCTTCTCGCGGCGAGCCCGGCGCTGCGGGACGGGTGGCGGTGCGAGTGGGGTGAGGGGCTGGTGGTGTGGCTGGCGGGGCTCGCGCCGGGGGCGCTGCTGGCGGGGGCGGCCGTGCCGCGGGAGCTGGCAAAGCTGCTGCCCCCAGAGTATGGTGAGCAGAATTCAAGCGTGTACCGCTTGTCGTGTCGTTTTGAGTGCTCGGGCTGGTGCGCTTGGTTGGTGCCCAGGCTCATTGCTAAGAGCACTTTGCCTGACTAGTGACGAGTGGTTGTCGCAATGACAGAAGAGAGCAAAGCGCCGTCCCAGCCAAAAGTGAAACGCCTCGTCGGCGCCCAGGAGCCCCGCCTTTGCAGCATCATCTCACGCGACCCTGTTGTCCCCCGACCCGATACCACTCGTTTTCAGCCGCCGTGCTGACTCAGATGTCTTTGGAGCTGGTCCCGCCCCCCAAGGGCCGCCACGGCCGTCAGCAGCAGCAGCAGCAGCGCCGCGTCGGCGGTGGCGGCGGGGCCGGCGCGGCGGCGGCGCGGCACGCCTGGCGGCAGCCGGCCTACCTGTCGGGTTTGGTGTTTGACGGCGCCGCGCTGGCCGAGGCCGCGCGGAGGGGCGCTGGTGAGGCTGCCGGGCGGCGCAAGCAATCTGGCCCACGGGGAAGGCGCTGCAAATCGGCCGCCCTCCGCAGCCCCCGCCCCGCAGTGCATCAGGCGCCCCACTCCGCCATGCTCTGCTGCGGCTCAACCCATGCATTCTGGCGGCCGCTTGACCCGCCGCCGCTGCAACTGCCCCCTACTTGCCCCCTCCCACCCACCACCTGGAACACTGGGTGAAACCAGAGGCGTCCCGCCGCATGTACCTGTCTGGTGCGACGCTGGTGGTGGTGCCTGGGACCCTGATCCCCCACTGGAGGCAGCAGATACTGCAGCACGTCAAGCAGGTGGGCATGAGTGCGCGTGGTGATATAGAGGGGGTGTGGGGAGGGAGGGTGGAGGGGAGAGTGAATGCGTGTGTGTGCGGGCGGGGCGCTGTGCATGAGAGAGAGCGAGAGAGAGAGAGAGAGAGAGAGAGAGAGAGAGAGAGAGAAAGAGAGAGAGAAAGAAAGAGACAGAGAGAGAGAGTGTGTATATGTGTGTGTGTGTATATGTGTGTGTGTGTGTGTGTGTGTGTGTGCACGCGCGTGCGCATGCACGTGCGCGCAAGACTTGAAGGGCGGTCTGTTTCGGCACATCCAGCAGCACAGTCCTCCGCCACTTTGACTCAAAGCTGAGGCCGCAACGCTAACCCCACGTTGTTGCCAACGCCCGCCCCGCCCTCGCACCCAGGGCTTGTTGAGGGTGGCGATCCTGGACAGCAGCACAGAGGGCGGCGGCACCAGGTGGGCAGTCAAGGGGCCAGATTGCATGCAGCCATGCTCGGGGCATTGCATGGGCACGTGCCAGGCCGCTTGACCGCAATTGGGGGGCTGTGAATTCGCATGCTTTCCCGTTGCATCTTCCCAGCCACCCGCACATTTGCTCCCGTCTGCCATCCATGCCACTGATGTTGGAACCTCTGCTCGGCAGCTACGAGCCATACGAGCTGGCCTGGAACCATGACGGTGCGCGTCTCCTCTGTGTCAGTGTGCGCGGCGCCGTCCAGCTGTGCATTTATGGCATTCAGGAGTGGCAGTTGAGTCGGCCCTGGGTCTGGTTGACCGGTGGTCACATGATTGCAAGACCCGCTGCGCTTCTCGGCCTGGGCTGCCGAGCGGCAGGTCGATCCCTGTATCCGCCGCCCCTTCTGCTCTTGTCGTTGCAGTCGTGATCACCACGTTCACCCGCCTGAGCGCGGAGTGGACGGCGGCGCGCAGCGGCCTGGGGAAGCGCCACCTGCTCCTGCAGGTCTGCTGGGCGGGGGGTGGGGGTGGGTGGCCTGGGGGCTGCAGGGCGCGGGGGTCGAGGGGCACGCTTGGGCAGGTGCTGGTGCCCCCATGTGTTGGGATCCACTCAGTGGCCCCGCCCATCAAAACACTCGAGGCGGGCGATCACCAGGCCTACTCCTCACAAGCGGTTCCAGCTCAGCGCGCTTGCCACGTCAACCCCCCTCCCCCCTCCAATGAAAACCCCTGGACCCTGCAGGTCCACTGGCTGCGCATCATTCTGGACGAGGGCCACACCCTGGGGTCACCCAACATCACCAACAAGCTCTCTATGGCCTGCGAGGTGCGGCCTGGCCGCGCCCTGAATGATCTGGGTAACCTCGGACCGCTTGATGATCTGTCTGGATGCTGGGATATGCCGTGATGCCTTGTGCTGCATGGCCTGCCTGCGACACACAGCGAGTCTGTTGTGCAACGCGAGCGCCTGGAGCTCGCACAGCCTGTGTCTCACACACATACACACACACATACATACACATACACATGCACACGATCTTTTGCTTTCTCATTAAATTATCTCTCGTCACAAATACACACACACACACACACACGCACACACACACACACATCTTTGCACGCAACCGCCCCTGTGTGCGCGCATGCACGACGCTCGCGTGCAGCTGGTGGCGGAGCGGCGCTGGGTGATGACGGGGACGCCCACGCCCGCAACCGCACACGGCAGCGGCGCGGCCCACCTGCAGGTGCGCCTCCCCCCCCCCCCTTCGCAACACCCCCTTTCCTCTCTCCTTGATTGAGCGGGGTTCTTCCCTCTCACGCATCATTTGTCGGCCGTCAGGACGCCTTCTCATCCATGCACACCTGCACCAACCCCTTCCTTCGCCCCTCAAATTGATTGCCCCTGACCCGACGTGGCCCGACGCTGCGTGGCGCCGTGCCCCCGCCGCCCGTGCCCCGCGCAGCCCCTGCTGGCGTTTTTGCGGGAGCGGCCCTACGGCACCAGCCGCGACGCCTGGCTGGCCGGGGTGCAGCGGCCGCTGGAGGCGCGTACCCCCTGGGGGCGGCGGCAGCTGATGGACCTCCTGCGGCGCGTCATGATCAGGCGCGCGGCGCGGTTGCTGACGCGCGACGCGGCTGCCAATCCCAGTTTTCGGCGCAATCAAGTACTTCAAGCGCGTGCCCCTAGGGACATGGTGAAGCTGCGCAAGGAAGCAGCTCGATGTTGGCTTTGCTCGAATTGATTACGGCTGTATACACTGATGAAAACCGGCCCTCGGCCCTCTGCAACCCCTCACGGCCCGCTGCCCCGTCCCTTCCCCTGCCTTTCAGGGCCAGCAAGGCGGATTTGGTGACCCTGCCCCCCTGCCACCGCCAGGTGTGCGCCGCCGCGGCCGAGCCTGCGCTCGTGCGCCGCTTGAGCCTCCAAACTCACAAACGGCGTGCAACGCAAAGTCTGGGGCCCCTCAGGACGCTTTTTCCTGGGGGCGCTCGCCGCCGCACGTCATTCGTCGACATCGCGCCTGCAATCCCACATCGGCACGCCTCGCAAGACCGCGAAACCCACGCACGAATCGAATCGCCTCACATCCGACTGTTGACAGTCCGTCTGCGCCACGAGCCTCGGCCCCCCACACCGGGGACTATCACCACCACCTCGGCCTCCACCGCAGGTCGTGCTGCTGCACTTTGGCCCCGAGCACGCTGCCAGCTACAACGAGCTGGTGGAGGTCATACGCCGCAACCTGCTGCTTGCAGACTGGTGCGACGACGAACACAGGGAGGTGAGACCAAAACAGCGCTGCGCCCTTGTTCTACGGTTGTTGCAGCAGGCCGGTGTGACGACAAGCAGGGGGAGGGGAGGTGCAACTCGTCGCGCCTATGAGGTGGCACCCCCTTTCGTGGCCGCGCGCGCCGGCGTGTGAAATCAGCAGCGGCCAGACCCAGGGCCGTGCGCACGATGCATGCACCATTCACGTGGGAGTCACGTGTTTTGCAAATATGCAGCCCTTTCGTCCCCTGCTTAGCCAGGACCTTCGGTCGAGAGCAGCACCCGCGCCCCGCTCGCCTGCCGCTGCCAGCCAAGTTGACCTCCGGCCGTCACTAACCCCCCGCCCCCCGCCCTCCCACCCCCAAAGAGCCTCCTGAGCTCCCGCCAGGCCAAGTGGGCCAAGGAGATGCTGCGCAACGTGAGGCTGTCCTGCTGCGTGGCGGGGGCGCTCAACCTGGTCGTCAAGGTGCGGCGCAGCAGCGGGGCAGGTGTCGAGGACCCCCTGCCGCCTAACACCTCTGACCCAGTATGCTGCGGCGTCCCCCATCTCCTTTGCACCTTCCTCCTTTCTGCTGTTTGTTGCTCCATGCCCCCGCCCCCTGCAAGGACCCTATGTCGGCAGCTCTGCGTCCCAGCTCGCTGGTGCTGTGCAGCTGCCCGCTGTCGCCTCTACCAATTGCGCTCCGCCCCCGAGTCTCACCTCACCCAAGGCTTGGCCAGCTCTCCCTGCCTCCTGCGCCTGCAACAGCCGCCGCCCCCCGCCCTCGCGCCCCAACATCGGCTGCCCAACTCATGTGCACCCCTTGCCGCCTGCTCTCCGCGACCCCGCTGCCCCGGTCCTTGTTAACAACCAGCTGTCAATCACTCGGCTTCTCTGAATTTCAAACCTCTCGAAGGACGACGACGTGTTGGAGACCCTGCAGCTCCTGGCCGGCCGCCTGGAGATGCCCCGCCCGCGCGGCACCTTGCCTGGCGGCCTCCCCTGGACTGGGGAGCGGCACCCCCAGAGGGGCGCGGGGCTCCCACAGCCCAGCGGCGGGCGCGAGGGGGACGGGGATGACGAGGGGGACGGCGGCGACGGCGCTGGGGACGGGCGGCGAGGGCGCGACGAGAGGGATGGCACAGTGTCGGGAGATGAGGAGGAGCAGCAGCAGCAGCAGGAGCAGGAGGGACCGCGGGAACGGCAGCAGGAGGGGGCAGAGGCGGCGCCGTGGCTCGCGTCTAATTCCAATTCCCCCGAGACTAAATCCCAGAAGCAATCCGGCGGCGGCGGGGCGCCCGCCGGCGCGCCGTGGGTGGACTGCGAGGTCCGCGGCGGCGAGGTGTTCTATGTGCCGGCCACCCACCCCCTCAGTGGCATCGAGAACGCCCTGCGCTATGGGACCAAGTGAGCCTGTTGGGTTGTGGAGTGTGCTGGTTACTTCTGAGCATGTTCCTTTTGATTCTGCAGCCCGCAGGATGTGTTGGGGATTGCGCTCAGTGCCAAAGTCCATGCCAGCCTAGCAATGAGGCCTGTCCCCGCCCGACGAAACCACGCACGAGTCAATCGGAGCTAGTCACAGACACACTAACATGCCCGCCTCAACGCACGGTGGATCTGCAATCTGCACCATCCCCCGCGCCCGTCCTGCAGCTGCCAAGTCTGCGGCGCCCACACTCGCCAGCCGATGGTCACGCCCTGCGCCCACGTGGCCTGCCTGGACTGCACGGCCACCCACCGGACTGCCTGCCCGCTGCCGGACTGCGGGAAGCCCTATGAGCTGCAGTCCGTGGACGACCCGGCCCGCAGGGCGCACAACCCCAACCCAAAGTGGCCGGTGCGCTTCCGCACGACCCCCCGCCACCTGATGGCGGGGCGTGGGCCGCTTTGTGGCCTCCCAGGAAAATTGAGACCGCTCCCAGGCTGGACGCCTCATCGAACGACCCTCCGCCGCTCGTCCGATCTCAATGGATGGCAACAACGACCGCGTCGCCTGGCACTGACACGCCGGCTGCCCGCCCGAC